TGATGGACAGGCTGGGGATTTTGGTGGATTTCTTATCGCATTCGACGATCGTTGGGTTCATGGGAGGGACGGCGGTGATCATTTGCCTGCAACAATTGAAGGGCATTTTTGGACTCAAACGCTTCACTTCAAAAACCGACGTCTATTCCGTGCTTCGTGCAGTTATCAGCCTTAGACATGAGGTTCCATTTTTCTACTTTTTCTTTTTGGAAAATACTTGACTCTGGCAAAGAGACGGAGGAATGTAAAAAGAGAGATTTTTTACAAAAATGTCAGATTTTGAACGATGAAGATCAAATCTTATCTCATTATCATTTAGAAATTGACAACTCGTGATGAAATTGATTTGAATCGAAAAGACGAAATTTAAAATTTAGTTTGTTCCCACCAAAATAAAGATAAAGAGTGGTTTGGTTATGTTTGATTGTTGCAGTGGAGATGGGAGAGTGCTGTGGTGGGCATCGTGTTCCTGATTTTTCTCCAGTTTACTAGGTTTCTGGTGAGCAGCCTGTAACGTGAAAATAACCAAAATATTTGATTTTACTGTGACCATTAAAGAGTTGACATTTTCAAAAAAATAAATCTGTTTTTACATTTATTACTTTTAATTGTGAGCAATAAGTAATATTGGATTTTGTTTGTCTTACAGAGAGACAGAAGGCCGAAGCTATTTTGGGTCTCAGCGATGGCTCCGATGGTGACGGTCATAATTGGCTGTTTATTTGCATATTTCATCCATGGAGAAAAGCATGGAATCTTAACTGTACCATTTCTTTCCTCTTTTCTTTTTATGAAAATCGCGATTTATGGATTTTGCCAAGATCTGACTTTTCCATTTCAAAATTAAGATTGTGTTTTTTTTTCCCTTAAAAAAATTATCCAACTTTATATCAATTCTTAAACTTTGCAACTAATTGTTAGGAACTTATTTAATTGCTTTTTTAGACACCACCATGCAATGTATGAATAAAATTACCATATGAAGCAATTTTCTTTTTATTATTATTTTATTCTCTGAACTTCAACCGATTTCTCTCTTTTTTTTTTTTTTTAGATTTTGAATATTGATTGTTTAATTTGGTAGTCTTTTTGGGATTTGGACATTTTAAAATCTCAATTTAATTCAAGATATATATCTCTATGGTCTTACTTTTTTAGCCACAATTTATTTTTTTTAGTTCAACAAATACAAAAATATATATCTAAATTGACGACAACTAATTTGGCAATCATAATAGAAGTTTCAGCCAATTTGACAATAGTTTTATTGATTAAGACATTATTCATCTAATTTGGAAATTCGAAGAGTACTATAAAAATTTGATATATAAATTATAAGTTAATAAAAATAGATACTTAAACTTATTAATTAATCTCATCTCTTACGTTGGTTTTTTTTACTTGATTTCACCACAGGTGGGTCACTTGAGCAAAGGAATAAACCCTCTTTCTATTCACTTCTTGAACTTTGATTCTAAATATCTCCCAGCAGTGGCACAAGCTGCCCTCATCACTGGCCTTGTGGCTTTGGCTGTAAATTCTCTCTTCTCACTTCCCTTCCAATTTTCCTCTTCTTTCTATTTTATAAAGCTTCATCATGATCTAATCTCAGGAAGGAATAGCAATTGGCAGAAGCTTTGCAATAAAGAGAAATGAACAAATCGATGGGAATAAAGAGATGGTAGCCTACGGCCTAATGAACATCGTGGGATCATTCACTTCCTGCTACTTAACCACTGGTAAATAAACACACCACCATCACAAAATATCAAATACAAAATTTTGATCAAATCAAATGAAATTAACTTTTTTTTCAGGGCCATTTTCAAAGACTGCAGTGAACTTCAACGCTGGGTGTAGGACAGCAATGTCCAACGTAGTAATGGCGATCTTCATGGCTCTGACCCTCCTTTTTCTGGCCCCTCTCTTCAGCTACACACCTCTTGTAGCTCTCTCCGCCATTATCATGTCCGCCATGTTTGGCCTTATCAAATATGAAGAATTCTATCATCTTTTTAAGGTCGACAAGTTCGATTTCTGCATTGCCATGGCTGCTTTCTTGGGCGTTGCCCTGTTGAGTATGGATATTGGAATCATGCTTTCGGTAAGTAAGAAAATTTGTCACAAGGAAGAATTTCAGAACTGATATTTTCTCATAACTAAATTAAGGGATTGTAGTATGGTTTTTTCAGGTGGGACTTGCTTTGGTGAGAGCACTACTTTACATGGCTAGACCAGCAACTTGCAAGCTGGGGAAAATACCAGACTCCGCTTTTTACAGAGACGTGGAGCAGTATCCCGGTGCCATGAAAGCCCCTGGAATTATTGTTCTTCAACTTGGTTCCCCTGTTTATTATGCCAACGCCAATTACATTAGGGAAAGGTACTGAGTAATGTAAAGTAAAGTTCATTCGGGCATTTTATCAAACAGTTTGTCTGCAATTATGATGGCTTTGATTGAACAGTCCAATTTGGCGTGTTTCTCAATAGGATTTTCAGATGGATCCGGGACGAGCAGGCCGCATCAGGTCCCAAAAAGGGATCCGTCCAACATGTACTGCTGGAGTTGAGCGGTAATAAATTACTGTGAACTTTTGTTTTCGTTGTCGGAATATAAAAATTACCTGGGAAAGAAGTTGAACCAAATGAGTTGTTTGTGCAGGAGTTACATCCATCGACATGACAGGGATTGAAACTCTAGTCGAAGTCCGCAGATCGTTGCAAGCAAATGGAATTCAGGTAAAATTCCACCTCCCCATTTCAATTTACATGCAAAGGGGAAAAGGGCACTGAAAATGAGTGGGATTTTGACGAACAGATGGGAATCATAAACCCAAGAATTGTAGTGATGGAGAAGATGATAGCATCGCATTTCACAGAAACCATCGGCAAAGAGAATATCTATTTATCAGTTGACGATGGAGTAGAAAGTTGCAGAGTTACGGTTCATAAAACGAAGGAAGCCGATGAAAGTGATCGAAATTCAGATGTGACGGTGATGTAGCCAGCGGGTACTCGTGCTGGTATTCTTCAGGCTATAATTTGGGTTACTGAAAGGAAAGATCCTCTGTTGTTGTACTTTTCCATACGAAGAGGCGAAGCCAAAAAATATATAATTTGTTCTGCTCTTCCCAAACTTGCTTGTTCATTCTTTAGATTTTGTTTGGATTTTTCTACTTTAATTTGTTGTCAGCAACGAATTAGCCAACTATAAATCATCACCAGAAACTCTTGACAATATCATCATAATCAATGAATCATGCAGAAATTCAACCGACAGACACTCAAAAATCAAATCATAAAAATGTCCAAACCAAAGCATGAAAATACTTCAACCAAATCACAAAACAAGCCAAGTACAAGAACTCTAAACTTAGGAATGAAGTCAAACTAGAAATTACAAAAATCATCACCAAAACTCTTCGATCAATCTAACAAAGATTTTTTCGGAACTAGGAAACCATTTGAGAAGCGAACAGAAGCATGGTTTGAAATGTATGAAAATATAGAGGTGCGAATTTTACAGAATTGTCGAGCTATATTTCGAGAAAAATTAAATTGTGAACATTGATAGAAATCTTGAAAAAAAATATGGAAATGGATCATGAATATTTAACAAAATTATTTTAATTAATAAATAAGATATAGATTATAGGTTAATTAGGTTATAACTGACCAATTTTAATTATAATATCTAAAACGTATAAGTAATATTTTGAGTACAAGACGTGGGAGTAGGAATTTGAACGGTGAGAGATAATTGTTTCTTTTTTTTTTAAGGGTAAAAGAAACTTTATTGAAACTCAACCAAAGCCATTATGGCTATTGAAACATAATCGATACTGAGTGGTTACATCCATTAACCATTCAGGAAAATCAGAACCCCAAAAACAGGGATTATCAAAACCTGTGGGCTGCCTTTGACCGACGGACATGCAAAAAATTGAAATCAATGAAATTCCTCGCCAATATACGTATATCCTCTAACCAGACATTGGAACCGCACCAAGAAATAGGATCCTCAGTGAGCAGATTGATCAATGGCAAAGAATCTGATTCAAACTGTACTTGTTGGATATTCAGACGGTMAGCCATCAAAGAGAGCAAGAGATTCTGCCATTAGCGGATCATGAGATGCTGCTGCCAAAATTTGCCCCTTTTCATTTCTGCAAACAATCCCAATTCCAGTTCTAAATTGATGTTTCTTGCATGCTGCGTCCACGTTTATTTTAATCCAACCAGCCGGAGGAGGCGACCAGTAATTCTCAATAGTCCGATCATTTGAACTTGCATCCTCCTGAATCCGAAAATCACCGAGAGAAGGGACATCACGGACCTGAAAATCTCTCACATAGGTAAGGATCCAATCGCTCCTAATCTTAGCGTCTGGAATTTGTCTTTGCATTCTAATTGCATTTCGATCATTCCAGATTGCCCAAACACCAACTCCAACCAAATCAAAGTCTGGAGTAGAGAGCGACTCCACCAGATACAACAATCCATCTTGAACGGAATTATTAAAATCACATTGCGGGAAAGCTTGAGGTAACAAAATATTCCAAACCTCCTTTGCTCTTTTGCATTTAAAAAGAGCATGGTCAGTTGTTTCAATTTGCTTCCCACATACTAGACAATTTGGGTTTGGATCAATCCCTCTCTTAATAAGATTTCTCATAGAAGGCACACAGTCGTTGAATACTCTCCACAAAAACATCTTAACTTTTGGTGGAACTTTAAGCTTCCAAACGGAATTCCACCACTGCCCAATTCTATTTTCATTAACTGAGGGGTGGAGAATCTAATGTTCATACCTAGTTTGTAACCACTCCGGACAGTGTAGGTTCCTTTTTTAAGTGCAGCTAATAGGAACAGAAGGAATAGCATAACCAAACTCCTCAGTTTCCTAATATCCCACTGCTTAAACAGGTGATGAAGTCAGAAACCATAAAATCCACATTGGGTGAGTGCGAAGAAGTCGGAGCTTTCCCGAGGTACCCACTTATCCTTAAAGAAATTTGTTGTTAAACCATTGTCAATTCTTATCCGAAGACCATTTGCAAGCAGATCACGACCCCAAATAATACCTTTCCAAAGATAGGAATTAGAAGAACTAGCTCTAGCAGTGAGAATTGAGTCCTCAACCTTTAATAATCCTGACACCATGATATTTGGGTGTTTTAGAGATAATTGTCTTGACAAGTTATATTTTTAATTATATACTACCATCGTTATAGATGAAGTAGAACAATTTTTATGAATGAAGATATTTTTTCGACCAAATACTTTAGTTTTGTCCACATTACAAGATTTACAAATGTTAAAGACTTTATATATAACAAATAGTTTTTTCTAGAATTATAAAAGGTGTTTAAGGTGGGTAAACAAAGTATCCTTTATTTTTTTTTCCAACCAAATACTTATTTTTTCCCGGAACCAAGCTGGACCACCACAAAATAAAATCATAATGGACGATACCAACTTAACCATGAGCATCAACGAATGAAGTAGGAATAGAAGAATCAAATATCCACGAAATCGAATAAGAAATAAGAAAAGACAAACGAAGCAGCATTCTCCCCGAGCAGCATCCTCTAAATGAGTACGCGGTTGGTTGGATTTAGCTACACGGCCCCGACTAGCCAATGAAATAGAACATATCTTAAAAAGGCTCGATCGAATCGACTACAAGATGGACTTTTTGAGGAGTGGTAAGACAGAATTGGACAAATAAGAGTGCTCCACCATGGGCTTGTAGCGACATCGGAGTCAGTTTCCCGTACTTGAAAATCTCTTCCCTCTTTCGAAGTTACCTACTTGAGGGCTTATAAATGGCTTTGGCACAAAAAACCTCTTCAACGAGAGATAATAATCTTCATCTTTTGTAAAAGAAAGAAGAAAGTCCACCGGGAGACATTCATACATAAACCGCTCTACTGTAGTTGTTCTTGGCCGTCGAGTTGTTGTGTAGTTTAGTTGAATTTAACATTTGGTACGACCTGCTTTATGTCAACTCTTGTCACTGTTGCAATTTGTCGGTGCGTCGACCTTTAATTTTTGGACAGAAGACAGAAATGAAAAAAAAAATATTATTTAAAAGGTGATTTTTGAAAATAAATACTTATTTATGAGAGAACTTAAAAAGAGGGGAGGGAGGTAGTGTAGACTGTACTACTGTAGTTGAGATTTCATTGAAAGGAGTTGGAATGAGCCCAATTGGCTGGCCCATTTAGGGATTTGGGCCGAGCATGGCTTACGGAGCGCGTACTACGTGTTGGTCCGTGAGGGGCAGGAATTGACGCGTGGGTCCCCTTGTACGGATTTATTTTTTCTTTTTTACTTTTTCGGAAATCGCTTTAATGATGTGGGACCCACCTTTCGGATCTACCAAAAAGCGGGCGAGCGACTGATTGTATGGCATGGGCATGGGCATGGTATGTCTTTTGTTTTATGGCATGAGAATGGGATGGTGATGTTAATTAAGGCGTGAGGACATAAATGCCCCTAACTCCTACATGTACATGCAGTGGCAGTGGCAGTGGCAGTCCCTAAGAAAGTGAAACACACGCGCTCTCTCTCTGAAGCTAAAGTATCAAACGGCAACCTGGCGGGACGGTTTAGAAAATTGGAGTGAAGATCAATTTAATAATAAAAAGCAATAATTTCGATACGGTGACAGCAGTTCATTAACTCTGACACCCTTCTCTGACGTTGACATGTGGCACTTTCACAAGTCACTCTCCCCCATTTGCCTCTTTTCCTTCTTCCTTTTTCTTTTTCCTATTTCTTGCCAACAAATTATAATTCGTTGAATTTTATCAGTTCATTTAATTTTGAATGACTAGTGGTGATTACTTTTTTACTGTCTTTCTTTTCTAATTATATACAATGGTTCTTGGGCTATTTTTAATTTTAACCTTCACCTTATTTATTTGAAGAATTGATTTTTCTTAGTTCCATAATTTCTTGGCTCAATTTTTTGTTATTAAAAAAGTGGGTGCTGTAGCATGGAAAATCGAACGTCCTAGACGAGTGCAAAACCTACAAATTAGAGAAAACATCGCTCAAGTTAGTATAATTCGAGGAGATATCTAGACGAGCAATCAAAATATAGATGTACCTACGAAACTTGTTTCTATATTTATACTATCGTGATGTGGGCCCCACTTGGTAGTTATCCTATATTGCTACAGGAATCAAGGCATAGGTTTTACATAGCCAGAAAACGATTGAGAGCGGTTTAATTTTAATTATATGAATACTTCAACTTGACTTTAGTTGTGTCTAAGGTATGAGATACGGCTCTTGAAATTTAGGATATAAGGTATTAATCTTTGAACTTTTGAAGGCAACAGGCTACCTCAATAGTAGGTATTAAGTTATTTTTTATTAACAAAGTTGAACATGAAAACATGTCATTTGGACAAAATAATTGAAGATGTCAACAAAACTAAAATTTTGAGATTAATTTTCAAGCCATTGTGGTATATGAACCCCACCCAAATCCCATTTGATCCAGCAGTGCCAATGTTTTTCAAAATGCAAAAAACATGAAAATAGAATAATAATTGGCAAATCACGTTTTATGTGGCATGTTCAAATGATCGATTAATTAGCATTGAGACATATTATTCATGTATTTAATTTGAATTAGAGTTCAAAATTACTTACTTGAAATATTGTGTTAAATTATGAATGAGCAAGTCTATTGTCTTTCAATAGATAAAAGGAACGGAATAGTTTATATAGTCCCATCAATATGATTATTACCAAAAAAAAGTAAAACAGTTCTAACTTTAGTTAATATTGGTTCTTAATTATTGATTAAATAAATGAACGATACTTTTCGACAGATTGTCTGACGAATGGAAATCAGCTACCGGCATTCTCGGTTAAACTTCCGCCGAATTTCGGCAGCACCGACAACAGTGATGTGCTGTGCCTGAAAGAAAGAAAACAGAAAAAAAAATATATAAATCTCTGAAGGACGTTACAAAATGTTTGCACTTTAATTTCCATTTAGTTCATAAATTACAAAATGTTACACACGTATTTTTTAGGTTTATCTATAGATTTTAGTTTTAATTTTTATTTCATCCCTAAATTATAGGTTTGGTTTTATTTGGTCTCTAGATTTCAAGATGTTACACCTTTACTCATAAATTTTAAATTTGATTTTTTCATTTGATCCATAAATTTTAAAATATTAACACTTTTATCTATGAATTTTCACTATGGCTCATTTTTAGTGTCTAATACGATATGTCAACATAATCATTAGTCCAAAATACTGACTCAAAAGTTGATGGATCTATTTAATATTAATTGATATTATTTATATGCTTATACGGTGAAAATATTTATTTTTATACCATCTTTCAATGTGATGGATGGACATTGAGAAACTAAACTCAAAATTAAAAGATTCTAGGGTAACATTTAACCAAATACAAACTAAACTAAAAGATTTAGAGATAAAAATGTAAGCGTTTGAAATTTAGAGATTAAATAGAAATTAAACTCAGGATCATAAGAGTATCTCATGACGATGAATTCAAATGGCAAATTTTTCGACATTCTACCACAGCGGCTATAAGTTATTGTATGGCCAGTAGCTAGCGTTTTAAAAAGGGGACTATGATTTTAATTTGCACACAACAAAGTCATGCCCCATATTTCCTGACAAAAGCCTTATAAATTTCATGCAATTATTTCAGACAATCCTAAATTTTAGGTTTTCCTTTTATTCAATTAAATTAAAATTTAAATAAATATTCCAAAAAAGTAGGTTCAAAACTTGTCCAATAATTAACAAAACCTCCATAATCAACTATAAAAATATCAAGTTAAAAAGACGTTTAGTCCTACCACAAATTTAATCCATAGCAAGTTTCAATGAAATAGCAACTCAACATAATGAGGGCATGAATTTTACCATTTTATTCAAGTTTTATATTTTATTTAATGAAAATTAAATTTTAAACTATATAATTAACTCAAACATGTAAAAGTATATTCAAACGTAGTTAAAATAAATATTAATACATCTTAATACCATCTTAAAAGTTGATGGTACCACAATGCATCTCCATCAAACTTAATAATAAAATTTTAGATCCGGTCTTGGTTCATAAAGTCTTATAAAAAAATTTTCTCTCACTCCTAAAGTTTTGAAAATTTTATTTATATCTCTTTTTCCAGTAAAAAAAAAAAAAACTACAATAGTAGATGTGGAATTATTTATTCCCTATTGAATTTGTATCTACCCTCTACTGTCCATTTTTACTTTTTAAACTTTTAATTAATTTGATCCACCAACCGTTATTAAGTTGTATATTAAATTCCTACCTTGAAAATGCACATCTAAGTTACTGTAAATGGGATAGAGTCTTTTCTTAGAGGAAATATAATGCACTTTAAGCTATTATTTATTTATATGTCACAACATATCATGACCAATAATGTATAGAGAAAACACACAGAATTTAATAAAAATTTATGGACAAAATTTAAGATTTTGAATATTTATTATAAAAAAATCATGACAGTTATTCGTGTCAATTACCATTAAGTCATAATGGCTTTGGTACGATTTTACCATTGAGTTTACCATTGAAGTTATAATATAATGATATAATTAAGAAGTAATAAGAGAGGCAAAGAAACAGTGAACAGAATCTGGTGGGGCTTTGAGCTGTTAAATAGCTGGCCATGGCG